GTTGTGAGTGGGGTGGGGAGGGTAAGGAAACTTGTTCTCCCATAAGGTGCGTTGCCCTGGGTATGGCCCTGGGCGGCAGAACTGGCCCAGGCTCCATGGTCTTTGGTGAGACTGTTGCCTGGAGAGTAAGCAGGGGTGTGATGAAGGATGGATACGCAGGCTGTAGAGTTTTGAGCTCTGGATGTCAGAGGAGTTTGGCTTTGTTCCTATAAGAAGTGGGGAGCCATGGAGACTTTTATCAGGAGAGCGGAGCGACCTGGGGAGAGCTGTGCTTCAGGGGACTTGGGTTGCACATTTAGTCCTGCCCCTTTTCTGGGCCTCGCGCCTCTGCCTGTAACCCTGGCGGCTGCACTAGGTCATCAGGGAGGTCATCTGCAGCTCTCAGGTTCTGAGATCAAAGCCTTTCTAGCCTTTCCAAGCCCCTTCTCCTCCCGGTCCCACCCTCTTTGTATTTTTCTGCCACCCAATGCCGTGCTGTGACTGGAACCGCCCCCTGGGGGACCGTCTGCTAATTGAAGTCTGTGCCTTGGGAGCAATTCTGTTTTTTTTTTTTTTTTCGTTCCTTTTGAAATCTTCAAGGGGAAAAACCAAATCTATGCCTGCCCCGGGGAGGAGCGACTTGGAAGGGAGTTAGAAATAAAGAGATGGGTAATCAAATCGCTTCAGGGTTCCAGGGCACCGGCAGACTGCAGTCCGTGCTCCTGCCAGGGCTGTTTCCTGCTAGAAAGACTTGACTCTGAGGCGTCCAAGCTGCTCGAGGTTCCACGCACGACCCAGCCTGGAAGGCTCCAGCTGGTTGTGTGACTTGGGGGAGGTTTCTCTGCTCCTTCCAAAGCGGCTCCTGTCATCACACTGTGATTTATGAGCTTTTCCTCTAAAATATGAGAGCATTGGCTCCTGATTATGTCCTGTAATGGAGGAAGGCAGTGGCTGCAGCATTTCTGATTAAATACTATCTCTTTAGACCACCATCTTGTTACAAAAAGATGCAAGAGGTTGAATACAGATGGATTAAAGTCTTTTTTTTTTTAATCACGTGGCCTCAGGCTAGTGAGGTGTTGAGAGGATCATTGTTCCCATCTGAAGGATCTGGGCTTGATCTGTAGCTTAATTGCTACATACCAGCTGTTAAGACCAGAGGCTGCTTACCTCTGAGCCTCCACTTCTTCATCTCTCAGAAAAAGTAGGGGAAGGTTAGTAGCACCCGCTTTATAGGGGATGCTGTACAGATTATGTGAGATAAATATCTGAAGAACTCAGCACCAGGCCTGGAACAAATGACGTACTCCAGAAGTGCTAGGGATTATTATTAAGATTATTATGAGTCCCAGATAGTGGATAGTCTAAAAGTAATTTGAAAAATATTTGGAAAGCATTTGTATAACTGTGTATTGATATGGTAAGGTTTGCACTTGTGGGATCTCAATCCAATTCAACAAATGGGCCATGTTATAAACTTACCTGTCTAGTTAGATTTCAGAGAACAAAATGTGAACTTGGACAAGTTCCTAATCTTGGTTTACACAGAGCCTCGGTTTCTTCATCTGTAAAAATGGATAATCACAATATCCACGACTTGTGTGTGGTATGTGGTGTGTGGTATGTGGTGTGTGTGTGTGTGTGTGTGTGTGTGTGTGTGTGTGTGTGTTTGTGTTGGGTGGGAGTCCCATAACCACAACACTTAATGTCCTTGGGGAAAAGCACTTGGTAAAGGTAAATAGTAATTTGCCTTACAGATATTTATATCCCGATGACCCATATATACTGGGAGAATTGACCCTCAGAGCTTAAATTTCATCTGAGGAACTAAGACAGATAAGACATGGGGTACATGAAAGAATTAAAAATCAGCACGAGGTGGTCTCAGACTAAGTACTGTGGGAGTTCAGAGGAGGGTCACCAGGGCTGAGCAGTCCAGACTTCCTGGGAGGAGCAGTGCTTCACAAGGGCTCTAAAGCCGTGGTTTTGGTTTTAAAACTTTTTTGCTTGCCTACCCTCTAAATGAACTTGGGGGAAAAAAGTCTCTTTTGCCTCACACATTTTAACTTGACATCTGAAATGTTTCATTGTAAGTTTGAGTAGGTACAAAGGATATAATTTCTGCCATATTGTAAATATTGACCTTGTAGAGTAAAATTACTCTCTTAAATGTATCAAATGGAAACTAGCATGGCAATTTTTAATTTTTGCCTTTTTATTGAAGTATCATTTATAGACAGAACAATGCACCAATCTTAAGCATGCAGCTCAATTAATTTTTACCGGTGTATTGACCACCCAAATTGAGGTGTGATATACGAGTATATCCAGCATTCCAGAAGGCACCCTTGTGCCCCCTCTCAGTCAATCTCTCTCCGAAGGTGACCATTTCTCTGACCTCTGTCATTACCATATCATCATATCTATCACCATAAACTAGTTTTGTGTGATTTCCTTTGTTCTGGCTTCTTTCAATCAACATGAGGCCTGTGAGGTATGTTGCTGTAGGTAGCAGTAGCTCACCTTTTTCACTGTTGTATACTGTTCCACTGAATGAACATCTCACATTAAAAAAATCTTGTCTACTCTTCATGGACATTTTGGGTTGTTTCTAATATTTGGCTACAAAGCTACCACAAGTTTTCTTCTGTATACATATCCTGTGGACATAAGCACTGATTTCTTTTGGGTATGTATCCATGAGCAGAATTGTCAGGTAATACATTAGTATCCACCATTCATCAAAAATTACCTGCACAAGTCAGAAATTTTACATTGTTCCTTTCTTTACCTTCTTGAACTCATAATTCCCTTCTATTTCCTTCACAGAATTTTATCCTAATATATTTTTACGCTTGAAAACCTTTTTTATTGATTACTTTTACCCAAAATATGTATGTAAATTGAAATGGATATTTAAACAATTTTCTTTGGCCTTAAAACTCTATCTTTCTTTTGGATTGATTTATCACACAACTCATCAAAATAACATCAATATTTTATAATTTGATAAATAACTACTAAACATAGATAGTATGAGAAATTCTTCTCTTAATGAGGCGAATGGGGTGGTTGCTAGCAGTGCTTCTCATACTTTAAGGTACATAAGGACCAATCTGGGGGTCCTGTTAAAATGCAGATTCTGGTTCAGAAAGTCTGGGTTGGAGTCTGAGATTCTGCATTTCTAATTATCCCCCCAGCAATGGCAATGCTGCTGGTCCACGGATCACACCTTGAGTGGCAAGAGTTTATGGTCCCTACATTAAAGGGAAATTTGCTAACACCAACATACTCAATTATCCTTTTTTTTTTTTTTTGGTACCCAGAAACCTTGACACTTTGGGGCACTGCACCATAGTCAGATTCTGGATGAGGGGAAATTTAGTCTTTCTTCTGCAAAGAGGGAGAAGGACCGTTGTGAAGAGGGAGGTATGGAAAGAGAGGGGTCATGCCATCTAGACTGAGACATGTTCTCAGGCAGAGCAGGGGAGTGGGAATGGAAGCAGGACCTCCAGCTGATTCCCTGATAACTCTTCCTGCCTGCAAGCCCCTTGGGAAGTCTTCCTACTCCCTGGGGTAGGGCTGCCTCTTTTGAAGACGACTTCTCTGAAGGATGCTGAGATGGTGCTGGCCACCATTTTAGACTGGGTGCCCACTTATGCAGGTGGGATTGGACATTTCAAGGATTGGTTTGGATGGTTTGGAGAGTCCATTGGGTGTAAATCCTGAGAAGGTAATTTTGGGGCTGGGTGGTAGATGGCCTTGAATTTCATGCTAAGGAGTTTGACTTAATACTTAGGCAGAGGGGGCCATGGGGTGACTTGAGCAGGGCGCTGGTGTGAGCAGAGTGCTGTGGGAGGCTGATCTGTTGAGCAGCTTGTGGGATGGCTGGGAAGGAGTTAATGCATGGGGATGGCAGCAGTGACAACACTATGGGCTTGAAGATAAGGTTGGCTGTGGCTGTGGGATTGGGCTGTGATTTTTTTTTTTTTTAAGATTTTTATTGGGGAATTGGGGGAAGGGGAACAGACAAGTTGCTGTCATTTTGTTCTTCAGTCTAGTTGTGGAGGACGTTGCTTCACTGGCCCAAGTTGGCACCATCATTGCGCTCTTCCTGGGTGAGGCAGATCAGTCGCTGGCTTCTGGACAGCCGCTCACAGCGGCTGCTGGCTACACACGGTAGCCCATGGCAACCCCCTGCAGCAGGGTCTGCAGCCTACCCTGGCGCCTGCGACTCACAGCAGCCCAGCTCCAGGTTGAGCTGTTGTTCAGCATCTTAGCTGTAGAGGGCAGTGTCACTGGCACTCATATGTGGGATCCCAACTGGGGCCCTCTGGCATCCCAAGCCAAATCTTAACCAATGCGCCACTCAGCCGGCCCTGGGCTGTGATTTTCATCTCCACCACCCCTCAGCTTTTGAACTTTTGCCCTGGTTGCACAGACCTGGTTTGCTCCATCAGTATTTCCTGAAGTGTGGGCTGCGTTCCTCTAGTGGCACTTGAGATGTTTATGCATGGAGCTCAAGATAATTCAAACACTGCTCACGTTCCTGTTTTCCTTTTGTTGATGGAGAGCGAGCAGTTTAGGCTTTAGGGCCTTTGATAAGCAATTGTCTCTAGAGAGAATTTTACAAAATTTTTGTTTTCATTGAATTAATTTTCTATGTACCAGGATGGCAAGTGGTTCTATTTTCCCTGTAGCGACATACAATTGTTCATTTTAAATAAGTTCATTTCAGTAAGAAAAGTGGGCCAATTTACTAGATGATATGGAAGAAATAATAATGCTGGAGGCATGTGGATATGGCAGAAATCGTGGTGGCAACATGCAACGGTTCAACTTTGGGAAGCATTGGGTTTGACCCTGTGGCAAAAACTGACATATGCGAGATCTTCTTGCCAATGACTGGAGGCTCGGGGTGTGTGTGTGGGGGGGGCCGCCGCCGGCACTGGGTCAGTGGGGTGGGTCCCACTGCTGTCCACACCACCAGCCTGATGCCCCCTCCTTGCCTCTGCCCACAGAGATCCGCACGCAGCTGGTGGAGCAGTTCAAATGCCTGGAGCAGCAATCCGAGTCGCGGCTGCAGCTGCTGCAGGACCTCCAGGAGTTCTTCCGCCGCAAAGCCGAGATTGAGCTCGAGTACTCCCGCAGCCTGGAGAAGCTGGCCGAGCGATTCTCCTCCAAGATCCGCAGCTCCCGGGAGCACCAGTTCAAGTGAGGAGGGGCCGGGAGTGTGGGCGATGGGAGGCAGCGCTTGGGCGGGTGGGCAGTGGGCTGCAAAGCTGAAAGGAGGCCAGGACTCATTGGAGGCAGAAGGCTGCCTTTAGGCTCCGGGTCTGCAGGACACTTACGCCTCCAAGCCTCAATCTCCCTTAGTGTACAGTGAGATAGAAGTAGTTCTCTGCATAAGGATGCTGTAGGGAATAAATGAGTAACCCGAGAAGACTGCTGTCACAGACAGTACGTGCTCAATAAATTGTTGTTGCTCTCATTCTCACCCTACCAAGCACCAGGTGTTACCAGAGAGGGGTCCCTCCTTGGTGAGAGGTCTGGGGTTGGCTCTCACACTCAGGGTCAAACCTGGCAGAGCCTGGCTAGCTTCCCACACCGGCTTCGGGGAGGAAAACTGGGTTGGGCCCTCTTTGGCACGGTGTCCAGGTTCTTGGCGTGGCACTGTGCCTCCATTTGGACCAAGGTAACACCCTGCCTCCTTCCAGGGCATCCTGGTCCTATCCAGTTCTCTTTAATTTCAGGGTCAGCCAGCCCACTTCCGAATTCCCTGAGCACAAGGACCTCAGAATTTCTTCTCCGTGAAACTGATGTTTAAAGCATTCCTCTTCCTTGCTCCCCTGGAGGACCAGTGCTGGGGCTCTTTCCCTGCCTTATGTACTTGTTTATGAGGCACGAATCCTCCATCAGCTAATGTCCCATGCCCCAAGCTCACACCCCAAGTGCTGTGTTCCTGGAGGTACGGTCCTCTCAGGCATGTGGGGGGCTCCGAGTCCTCCAGCAACAAAACTTTCTGTGCTCAAAACTCTCTTGAGTGTAGACAGGAGCCACAACCTCACTGGGACACATTCACCCACAGGGTGGACATCACCTTGCAAGGTCTTTTCCTCTGCCATGCTCCCCAGATGTTCCCCCCTGCTCGGGGCGTCTCCCCAGCAAATGACCCTTAACTCCAGGAGACCAGAGACTTACTTCAACCCACCTGACCTCATCCTTCTTCCTCTGGGTCCAATCTCTTTTTTCCCTTTTTTCATATTTTTTGATTGTGGTAAAATACACATAACATAAAATTTACCATCTTAACCATTTTTAGGTACAGTTCAGTGGCATTAAGTACATTCACATTGTTGTACAGCCATCACCACCATCCATCCCAGAACTTCTTCATCTTCCCAAACTGAAACTCTATCCCCATTAAACACTTAACTCCCCATTACTCTTCCCCCAACCTCTGGCAACCACCATTCTACTTGCTGTCTCTACAAATCTGACTACTCTAGGGACCTCAAATAAGTGGAACCATACAGTATTTACCTTTTTTGTGACTTCTTTCACTAAGCAGACCCTCAAGGTCCATCCATGTTACGACATGTGACAGATTTCCTTCCTTTTTAAAGTTGAATAATATTCCATTGTATGTACAGACCATGTTTTGTTTATTTGTTCATCCTGTCGATGGACACGTGGGTTGCTTCCACCTTCCCCTCTGTCGTTTTGCATTCCACTCTGGCCAGGGAGCATGCTTCCTTTAAACCTCCCTACACATCTTCCTCAGTCTGTGCCACAGCATTTGAATACTTGCTTTTGTGCCTTCTTCTCTTGACATGGGGGAATAAGAAATTGCTTTATTAAAGGGCAAAAATTTACTACTCCTTTGCAAATACTTGTTTTTCTACCACATCACATCTCTTTAAACTTCCACTGCAGAAGGAAGCTTCTGTTAATAATTTCCTCCCAGGCACTGTCTAGTTCCTTTCACATACATAATCTCGCTTTTCTGATATATTTTTTTGGAGAAAATTTGTGGTTTTTTTTCAAGTGATAAAAGTAAAATGCTAAATTGTATACAATTTAGAAATACAGAAAAGTAGAAGAGAAAAAAAATCACCCACAGTCGTGTACTCAGAAGCAACCCCTGCTCACATTTTGGTGGCTTTTCTTGCTTGTCTTTTAATCATAACAACAGCAGTGGTAACTTAGTGAGTGTGTTAACTGAGTGCTTCCTTTGTGTCAGGTGGGTATTACTCCCCCATCCTAAAGATGAGGACAGGGAGGCTCTGAGAAAGAAGCTTGTCCAAACATGTCTGTGAACCCGTCATTGGAAAGACACAGCATTGAACCCTCACTCTCATTCTGCCTCCTCGGCCTGAGACAAGAAAGGGCCTGGGTGCAGCCTGGTTACAGCCATGGAGGCTGAACACTCCCTAAAACCACAGTCGCAGACACGTGTTCAGAAGCGCATGTCCCTGGCCGAGCTGTCACTGGAGCCATCCAGGGCTGTGTGGTCAGGTTGGAGCCTCAGCTCCAGCCTCTGTCCTTCCTCCTGGTTTGGAATCAGTGCCCTTTCCACTCTCAGTGTGAACATGGGGGAGGGGGTAAAGGCGGGGCACTGGGGGAGCAGGGGTGGGGGTCCCCTGTTCCTTTGCATCATCTGTAATGAGCTCGGCCAACCCTTCATGGGTTCATTAACTGAGGCCACCAGACGGAACGGGAGCCCCAGCTGGCAGTCGGGCCAAGCAGGCTGCTTGACACAGCATGAACGTCTAATTAGGGTGTGGGCCAGGCCACCGCAGCTGGTGTGGGCTCTCTGCACGATGCTAATTCGACGGCAGAGCCCCCAACGGCCTCTGGAAGTGGGAGCCTCTAAGGGATGCCTGGACTTGCCCTCTGACCCCAGGGCCAACCAGCACTGACCCCTGGCTGCCTCTTTTTTGGGGCTCAACACACAGGGTCTTCATCCTGGCTGTCCAGAGAAGCCTCGTCCTGCTGCCTTACAGATACTTTATTTAAGGGTGTCTGTCTGTCTGCCGGGCAGCTTCTCAGGGCCTTGAGGGCAGGACCCAGGTCTTGTCACTTTATTCCCATGGCAGTGGGCGCAGTGCAGGGCAGAGATGGGGTGTTTGTGAATGAGTGGAAGAAAGTGGGGGAGGAGAAGGGGAAGGAGGGTATTTACTCAGTCTATAAAGTCTACTCTGGCTGAGAGATTTGGTTCAGAGAGGGAATTGATTTGCCCAAGAGCTCCCAGCAAATAGTGGCAGAGCGTGGGAACTATCTTAGCCTATTTGGCTACTATAATAAAGCACGGTAGACCGGGTGGCTTATAAACAGAAATCTATTTATCATAGTTCTGGAGGTTGGCAGTCTCAGATTAGGGGGCCAGTGTGGTCGGGGTCTGGTGAGAGCCCTCTTTTGGCTTGCAGATGGCTGATTCTCCTTGTCTTCTGACATGGTGGGGAGCATAGAGAGGAAGCAAGCTCTAGAGACTCTTATAAGGGCACTAAGTGCATTCATGGGGGCTCCACCCTCGTGAATTCATCTAATTCTAAGGCCCCACCTCCTAATACCATCACATTGTGGGGAGGGTTTCAACATATGACTTTTGGTGGGGACACACATTCAGTCCATAACTGGAACTCAGGTCTTTGACTCTAAGTCCAGCGTTCCTCCTTTCGCTCCATGGACCCCAGCTGCTCCCTACCCACCTAGATAATAATAATAAAAAAATTACCGTTGCCCAGGAGGTGCTGTTCCAGGCTAGACTTACCTGGGTTGTGTTCTGTGTGGCATACGATCCAAAGAAAGGCTCAGATGCTGGCTCTGAAGGTTTACCTGGGGCAGGTTGAATAGTTATAGAACAATACCATCATGTGCTTCTTTTCTACCATCAAATATTTCTCTTCTAACCACACCTGTATCAAAGCACTCTGACCCCTTCGCTGTCTTATAATCCTGATGATGAGCCAGGGACATAGAGAGGAGCCAGTGGTTTTGTCTCAAGCCACCTGAGCACCAGACAAGCTGAGTGGCTTAGTTTACAAAGCACCCACAGTGAGCTGCTGCGTGAGAGAAGCCAGGGTTTCTGACTTCTGGCTCGGGCTTTTCTTTCCCAGAAGCCATGCTGAGCGTTCATTCATCTGAGATGAATGTATTGAGGATCTCTTATTTTCCTGGACTGTGCACTGTGCTGAAGACACAAAGATTTAGGAGACACAGTCCCTGCTGTCAGATATTCTCTCTTCTCTCGAGAGACGAGTGCATCCTTGGGGAACGCCCATGGATGTTGGTATGGCTGGGGCAGCCACCCAATCCCTGTGGCTCTGCTCTTTGAACCCTGTCTCCTGCTCGCTCTCTAGGCATCAGCCTTTAGGTGTCACTTTCTCTGGAAAGCTATCTCGAGTCTGACATCATGCTTCCTCTGTGTGCCCATAATACTCTGTACTTATTGATTTGCTTATTCATCTGATATTTATTCAGCGCCTGCCATGTACCAGGCCCTGGTATAGAGGTAAGCAAGATAGACTTGGTTCCTGCTGTGGTGGAATTTAACTTCTAGTGGAGGAAAGAGATGAAGAATCAAACATTGAAAAAAAAAAGAAAGACGTGTCATCAAATGATTGCTAGTATGGGAGTAAGTATAATGCAACGTGTTCTATAGCAGTAATACTCCCCAAACTTAATGTATGCCATGATGTAATGGGTCAGGAATCTGGACAAGGCTCAGCTGGGTGATTTTTCTGCTTTACGTGGCATCAACTGGGATCACTTGATGATGTTGAGCTGGTGGCTAGTCTGGGCTGGAAGGTCCGAGACGGCTTTACCCACGTGCCTGGCCCTTTGGTGGGGACAGCTGGAAGGCTGGGCTCAGCTGGGTTGACCCCCTCTCCGTGTGATGTCAGGGCCTGTCTACCTGGCGCTTCGGCCAGATGTTGGGCTTCAGACATAGTAGCTCAGCGCTCTGGGAGAACAACGGGGGAGCTGCAGTCTCCTTCAAGCCTAGGACATGGTGTCGTTCTCTCAGCCCTAGCTCAGCTTCCAGGCGACAGGAAATAAAGCCCTCCTGTCATTGGAGGCCTGTCAAAGGATTTGCAGCTCTCTTTAATTCTCTACACTGAGCTAGAAGGTAGTCAGGGAAGGCTCCTGGAGGCAGTGGCATTTAATCAGAGCCCCGAGGGATGGAAAGGAGCAGTTGTGGTGGACGGTGTGAG